AGATGGATCCCAGCCATGGAACAAAGTTCCAAAGTTGGACATCCCCTTATCGTCTCTAAAAAGACGGACCTAGCAGTTGAAGATATGGGGGCTCTAAAGGATCCTATGGATAAGAGAGTAGAAATTTGGCTCCGGAGGGCCTGTGATTCTACCTCTATCAGCTTTAAGCCGGCTTTATCGGCCACCTGTGTTGCCAGAAATCTGGAATGATGGCTTACCCAGTTACAGACGCATCTCTCGGCAGGGACTTCCAGGCAGCAAATACTAAAGTCCTTTCCTTTGCAGTTTAGAGCGGTAGGTTTCCTCACGGATGCCTCAACGGAAACAGTTAAACTAGCCGTGAGAACATCTGCCCTAGTGAATTCACCTAGAAGGGCATTATGGTTGAAGACCTGGGCAGGGGACTCAGCGTCCAAGCTACGCCTCTGTGCTTTACCCTTTTCATGAGATAACCTTTTCGGTCCAGGTCTCCAGGAGGCCTTGGAGCATACAGCCGATAAAAAGAGGGAGTTTCCAGAGAGTAAAAAGAGATCTTACTCCAGGAGGGTTTTTCATCAGAAAATGCAGGTCCAGCAAAGTAAGGATGTTCAGCCCAAGAAACATTGGACAGGGCACAAGAACAAGTGTAATGGGGGGATCTTATTCAATCCTCCTCAGGGCCCCGCCTAGTCTCAATGACTCGAGAGTCCCAGTGGGAGGAAGACTGGGGACCTTTCTCCCTCAGTGGGATTCAATCTCCTCAAACCCGTACATTCTGGGCTTGATAGAAAAAAAGGGTTCAGGTTGGAGTTCAACTCTAGTCCCCCTGTCAGGTATCTGGTAACCAACCTTCCCAGGAAACAGAAGACACAGGGTCTGTGTGGCCTAATTGGAAACCTGGTGGATCAATGGGTCCTTACTGATTTTATTCACATGTTTTCATAGTGAAAAAGCCCTCAGGCAAGTGTAGCCTTATCTTAAACCTCGCAATCAGTCTTTAATATACAAACACTTCAAGATGGAATTGATCTTCTCTGCAAAAAACATCCTTTACCCAGATTGTTTCATGGCTATGCTGAATCTGAGGGATGCGTATCTTCACATCCCCATTCAACATGCGTGTCAGAAATACCTAAGAATAGCAGTAAGGATTGGTACAGAGATCCACCACTGGCAGTGTCAGGCTCTACCTTTTGGTCTGGCCTCAGCACCAAGAATTTTTACGAAAGTGCTTGCGGAGGCCTTGGACCAGGTCTCACCAACAGTTGACAGAAGATCTATGGATTGCCCAGGACTTCCTTTCGAGTCTGGGGTGGCTCATAAACAGAGACAAGTCATGTTTAGCTCCCTCCCAGAGAGTTACCTATCTGGGGTACAAGATTTCCTCGATAGAAAGAAAGCTCTTCCTTCCACGGGAAAAAAATTCTCAGGATAGATCAAGTGCTGGCAGAGCTGCAGAACAACTTGTCCATTACAATAAGGGAGACCATGAGGGCAGTAAGTCTCATGACATCATGCTTCCTGGCTGTCCCCTGGGCAAGATTCAACCAGCGTCCACTGCAGTCTCTTCTTCTGAGGGTTTGGAACAGGGACAGGTTTGCACTGGATCTTGCAGTCTGGCTCCCGTCCAGGATCAAGAGATCCCTTTGGTGGTGGCAAATTCAGTACAATCTAGCCAAGGATCTGGAATGGACCACACCTTATCCGGTTATCATTGCAATCAATGCCAGCAGCTTTGGATGGGGAGCCCATCTAGACGACAGAGCAACCCAGGGGTCGTAGTCCCTGGGGGAAGCTTGGAGATCCTCGAATCAGAGAGAGCTTTTAGCAATCCAGCGAGCGCTGGATGCCTTTCAAGCAGATCTAATAGACCATCACCTGCAGATCCGTTCAGACAATATGGTTACGGTGCCATACATCAACAAACAGGGGGGAACAAGAAGTCCTCCTCTCCAAGCAATTGCGGAAAGCATACTGTCTTGGGCCGAACAAAACTTGTTAGAGAGAAAACAGGTGATGCACACACCTAGTACATTATCCAAGGTTTATTGTAGGAGTAAAAGAATAAAAAAAACATACTCACAGACGAAGCATGTATCTAAAAAGCATAGAAAAATGACAATGGTCACAACGGCAGGCAAGGTGTTCTCACTGTCAGTGCGGTCAAATGGCTGACGCTCTTCGGGGACGAATCCCTTTCCTCAGAGCTGATGACCAACCTCTGATGCTGATGTATGATGAATGGAAAGTAGGAGCCTTGCTGTTGATGCCTCAAAGGGAAGAGGAAAGGGATTTGTCCCCGAAACACGTCAGCCATTTGACCGCATTGACAGTGAGAACACCTTGGATAATGCACTAGGTGTGTGCGCCACCTGTTTTCTCTCTATCCAGTGGCTGATTTCCCAGTCTGAGGAGGGCTGCACCCCTGAAGCATTTCCTTTGGTTGTCGCTGTCCTGGTACCCTTGGCTTCCCTTTTGGCTGTGCATATCCTGAGGCGCTGGAGAGTACATACGATATCGAACAAAACTTGTGTTCGATATCTACCATCCATCTGAAAGCTCCTTAGAATTCCCCAGCGGACATCCTAAGTCAGCATCCAGTCAAGCACGATGAATGGTTTCTCAACCAGGAAGTGTTTGCGACCATCATTATGAAATGGGGCATGCCGGAGGCGGATCTCTTTGCTTCGCAAGAAAACAGGAAAGTCAGCCGGTTCTTCTCCCTAAATCCGTGGGATTGGGCCTTGGGTGTAGATGCCTTCGCAAGGAATTCAGTCTCCGTTATGCGTTTCCAACAAAAATTTCTGAAAGACTGCTAGGATCAGCCTAACTGGAGGAAAAGAACAAACCTCATTCTAGTGGCCCTGTTTTGGCCGAAGAGACCATGGTTCTCTCTGCTGTGGAGCCTGGCCTCGGTTTCCCCAGTTACCTCTTCCAGAAAGGGAGGATCTGGTCTCTCAGGGTCCGGTGCTGCACCCTCAGGTGAAGACTTTGAAAACTTTAAAGTTGGTGGTGTGGCTACTGAAGAACAACTCCTGAAAGCTCAGGGGTTTTCTGACAGAGTAGTGAGGACTTTGGTGAACTACCGCAAACCAGTAATCAGAGCTATTTATACTAAGGTTTGGAAAAGATTCAACTCCTGGTTGTCGGATAAGGGTCGGAGCCCTCCGGATATCCCAGCGGTCTTAGATTTCTTCCAGGATGGGGCAGATCAGGGCCTTCTGGTTAGCACTTGAAAGGTGTAGGCCTCGGCCATTAGTGTTTAGAAGGGATTATTTTAGGGCCCTTTCCAAGGCCAGGCTGGCGGTGGTCAGGTCCTGTCCAGTTTGGGATCTGTTTTTGGTCCTAAAACCTTTGGTCCTTTGTCCCTTTGAACCTCTGGAGAAGTCTTCAATAAAGTTTTTAACTCTAAAAACTGCATTTTTTGTAGCAATAACATCAGCCCTTAGGGTGAGTGAACTGCAGGCGCTTTCCATTAGGGAACCCTTTTTGTCAGTTTTTGAGGATAGAATTATGCTCAAAATAGATCCTGGGTTTCTTCCCAAAGTTTCCTCCTCCTTTCATAGGTCTCAAGATATAATGTTGCCGACCTTCTGTTCTGCTCCCACAAGCAAGGAGATTAGGTTTGTTAGATGTTAAAAGGAGCCTTTTGGCCCATCTTAGTAGGTCCAGAGAGTTCAGAAAATTAGATTCTCTTTTTGTTCTTTTCGCAGGAGCGCGGAAGGGTTTCAATGCTTCCAAATCCACCATAGCTAGATGGATTAGGATGGCTATCACGGAATCATATAATTTATTAGAGATTCTGCCCCCCGTTTGTTAATGCACACTCAACCAGATCCTGGTCAGCATTCTGGGCAGAGAGAACTGGTGCCTCGCCAGAACAAATCTGTAAGACAGCCACTTGGTCCAGCTTATCTACCTTCGTGAGACATTATCGCCTGGATATGCATTCTAGTGAGGATCAGGCGTTTTGGCGCAAAGTTTCCCATACAGTTGCCCCACCCTAGTGGGCAAGTTCTTGATTATCATCTTAAGGGGCTGTCCTGGAAGATGTTTTTTGAGAAAACCAGAGTTAGACTTATCAATAACTCCTTTTCTATAAGTTTTCCAGGACAGCTGGGATTTCCCACCCTAACTATTGTACGGTAATGTATGTTTATGCATAAATAGTTATGTCTTTTAGTGCCTTCCTGGGGAAAACTAAAGAGCGAGGCCTGGAGGTCCACCTTTTAAAGGTTCTGGACTTACATGTTTCCTGTCCCGGATGGAAGAGCTCTACGTCTCAAGGGGCTGTCCTGGAAGACTTCTAGAAAAAGAGCTACCGGTAAGTATAACTCTGGTTTTCCTGCAACCATGGGTTTCAGGACAGAAATCATTTGATTCCTCCATGAATATCAGTGTCGATGGGGGAATCCTTTCTGTGGAGCTATTATGTTCTCCCAGTGGAGGGGTAGGATGTGGGGAACCGTCCCTGACAGGAGAAGACAGTGATTGTCAGCGCTTTAGCTGCTGGCAATAATGACATGTAAAAATCCGATATGCTGGTTGCACCCAAGTCATACAATTGAAATGGTTACAATCAGCCTGCCCATAGATGGTTCGAATCTCGGACAGTCCCTGCTGAACCGGCCCAGATTCGAACCATCTATGGCCAGCTTAAGTCTCACAAAGATACAGTCGCTAATTTTCAATCCAAGTCGCCAGATCCGCTGTTGTGGTGACAAGCACAATGAACATTAAAACAATGAATAGGAATGTTAAATGCATGTTTGCTGCATATAAGCAAGTACCAGAATTAACCAAAAAGGAAATTGTCTTTCTGTGGCACAAGAAAGCATGACAAAATCTGGAGCAGTGCTATTGTGGGGGAATATAAGGTATGACTCAGAATTGTTTTCTATAGAAGTAAAACAAAAGCCATCATTCACCAACTGTACATATATATCAAGACAAATCTGAAGTGCTGCCAGGATAAAGGGAAAGAAAAAGAAAGTTGTTTATTTAAGAACAAACATACATACCCTTTGTTTTTTACTGATGCATTCTTGATATGTACATAGCTTGCAGGAAAAATGCCCTAAAAAAACAACACAGTATGTTGAAAAAAAGCTTAGAAAACACCACACATGATAAAGGCAATGCTCTAGGGATTTTCTGGACCTTAGAATGTCACTGAAACTGAACCAGCAAAATTACAACTGTTACTGCACTGTGGACACATCTGACAAATGAAATTGTAAGCTATAAAGTGTAGTGAAGAGACATTCACTGCTATTCAATTTGCAGTTTCAAAATGTGCTTCCCATGAAGACTACAATAAAAACTAGACATGTAGAGGGTATATAAAACCCTAAATAAACTGATATTACCACTTAATGTTGAGCAAACAAAACAAAAAAGTCAAAAAAATCCCCAGTGCTGTATGACCTAATTGTAAGGAACACAGAGCATATTTATTGGACCGTAAAGTAGAACTATAGGCAAAACCTTTTTTATTTTGGATAAGGGAGGTTGAAAGTAGTGGTGGACCGAAATAAAAACTCTGGTGCTGAAACCGAAAATTCAGGATGCACGTGGTCAAAAACCGAAATAGACGGTTTTTAAAAATTAATGAAGATTTTTTTTGGAAAAAAATACACTTTAATGATTAAAAAAAACACAATATATACCCAAATTTTTTTGTAAAATATGAAAAAGATGATGTTAAGACGAGTAAATAGATACCCAACATGTCAAGCTTTAAAATTGCGCACACTCATGGAATGGCGTCAAACTACGGTACTTAAAAAACTCCATGAGTGTCTCTCAAACTCAACTTTCTACAGGTTCTACCAGTTTCTACCAGTGTAAAGTTACAGGGGAGGTCTAGTGCTAGAATTATCGCTCTTGCTCTGACGTTCATGGCGATACCTCACGTGTGGGTTTGAACATAGTTTACATATGTGGGCATGGCCTATGTATGCGTTCACCACGGGGGGACGGGGGGACGGGGGCACTTTAAACTTTTGTTATAAAAATGTATTTAATTAAAAAATGGCCTTGTTTACAAGGCGCCGAAACAGGAAGTGACATTGATCCGGTCCTCCCAGGACATAGAGATGAGTGGAGACCATCTTTCCTTCACTTATCTCTAAGCCCAGCACTGGGATCGTTTGGCGATTTCTCAGGTAAGGCTGAGAACTACCTAGCAGTGGCAGGTGACGGCAGCGGCAGGGCGGCGGTGAGGGGCGGCGACAGTGGCGAGGGTGCGGGGTTATTTTCAGCACCTGTATCGGTGCTTATTTGGGATTTTCTTTTACTATCACTTTCAATGGTTATGGTAAACAAGACAGAGAGGGTTAATCTCCCTAATGGGGGCACAGACAGCAAACAGAACCTAACAGGGGTTCCCAATCCTTCTCCATTCAGTCCGAAACAGAAAATGTTTTGCAATTAGTTATACTTTAAAAATACATATTCTTGGATTTTCAGTATTAAAACACACACACACACACACACACACACACACACACACTTATCCTTGAAGTTCAAATTCTCTTGCACACACAAAATCAATCAATCCAAAACTATATTTTTAGTATTGGCTACAGCAGAAAGATTAGATGTTCAGATTTTACTACTGCTATCTGTCCAATTAAAGAATATGTAAACGCAACATTTCATATGCCTGATATGTGCCTGCTGTACCATGTACTTGTATATAAAATAGAAGTATCCTGTTCTCTTTATATTGCTTTCTTTGAGTGAAATCCCTAGTGTTCCTGCCAGTCCCTCTGCTTTCCTATTAAAAACTGACCTCCCCCCGCACAGCCATGCACTGGGAAGATCAGTGTTCTGCCATTTCTCCTCCCCCAGCTCTTTTGCAGCTGAAAACAGAGGGTGTGTGATCACTTACACAAAAGGGAAAAAAGGTAATTATGTTTTTTTATACAGTAAAAAATGTTTTTATACACAAATGTTTTGCCTTTCGTTGCTGTTTTAATCTAGAAGGGATGTTTTACAACATGGGGGTTTACAATGACAAAGATATTTACCCTCATTTCCTATCCTGCTGACAATGCCTTGCCCAGACAGGAAGTGATAAAAATTTCTGACAAGGAGAACGCAGAAATAAAAATGTGGAAGGTGTTCTAGTCTTTCCCTACTCTGCTAAAAGAAAAAAAACAGTTATTTTTGCCTGTGTTGCTGCTGGAAAGTTTCTTCTGTCTGGGACAGGACAAGCATAAATCTCTCTAATGGAGACTTGGATAGCAGTAAAAACTTGACAGTGGTTCTAACCCTTCCCTACTCTATCCAAGACTAAGGACAAGGTTTTGGCTGGACTTACTGTAAATATTGCCAAATCCAAATTAAACATAGGCAGTTCGAAGTTTCATGAATAACTTGCATGCAGCCATAAGGTTTGAAGTGGTTTTAAATGCTTAAATTTTTACCTTCATGCATTCTCTGCATTAAGATAATAAAAAACCATCTGTGATCAGAGTCACCCCCCAGCCCCTTCTAAGTACTTACCTGAGCCCGACTGTGATCCAGCGCTGTGCCTGAGAGCAGCTACTCTCTCCACTCTCTCTATCCTTACAAAACAAAGGGAGCAGTGGGGAGCCATTGGCTCCTGCTGCTGTCAATCAATTCCTGTGACAAAAGAGTGGGCGGTGGGGCCATGCTGCGCTGTCTTTGTCTATGGAGGCAGGCAGCCGAGCTTGGGATCAAGCACACGAGTTCCCCTTGTAGGAAGCAGCTTCCTATGGGGGGGCAATCATTAAAGAGGAGGAGCCAAGAGCGCCGGCGGCGGACTCCAGAACAGGAAGATCCGGGTTGCTCTGTGCAAAACCACTGCACAAAGCAGGTAAGTATGATTTTTTTTTTTATCTATAATAAAGTTTAGACTCGCTTTATTATGATTAATGACATACATTCTTAAGTTTCACGATAAATATTGAATCCACATACAAGACATGATGACAGCTTGATGCGGCATTTTCAATTTCAAACAGATAGGAAATTGGTAAACTAAATTACAATACCTTGCCATTGGGGTTCTTTAATGCAAATCCTCTGTACCAACCTGCAGGCATCAAAATAGATTAGATTTTTATTGATTCTAAAAGGGTAAATCACAGTATTGCTCTGACCTGGTTGTCAGTATGCTTTTTTTTTTTTTTTTTTTTTTTTTTAAGTCAAGTATGTCAGTCATGTAGCAGAGGAGCAAAACATTTACAGTTATGAGAAAATCCACTATTCATTTGAATCATATAAAATATTTAATTTTTGTGAGCATATTTACTAACCAAATTGTTTCATGAACTGATGTTATTCTGTGGGAAAAGCATGTATTTACTGACTTGTGCAACCTTCTAATGATGACCTCGTCAACCCGGACACAGCCCGTCTCCTCCACTTAACCTCCTCCTTTGCACTTGCACAGTGCATACAATCCACCACCCACTCCGACGGGAATATCCTTGATCTTGTCTTCTCCAACCGCTGCGCTCCCCACAACCTCACTAACACCCCCTTCCCTCTCTCTGACCACAACCTGATTACCTTCTCTATCTCCTCATCCTCCAACGCCTACCCCTCCAAATGTCACACTACTACCAGCCGTAACCTCCGCAACCTTAACCCTGCCTCCCTCCATTCCGCAGTTGATCAACTCCATGACCGCATCCTCCCCCTGTCCTGCCCCGACTTGGCTATGACCGCCTACAACAATGCGCTGTCAACAGCCCTTGACTCACTAGCGCCTTTAACCACACGCAACATCAGACCCCGACCGCTCCAGCCCTGGCAGACTGATCACACCAAAACCCTCAAACGACACAGTCGTGCCCTGGAGCGACTATGGCGCAAAACCAAATCCCAACAAGCCTTCACCCGATACAAATCTGCCTTCCACACCTACACCTCCTCCCCTCCATACTGCCAAACAAGCCTACTTCCTGACCCTCATCAAGGCCCTCTCCTCCAATCCTCGCCGACTCTTCTCCACCTTCAACTCTCTACTCTCGCCACCCCCACCCTCCACCCAGCACCTCACTCACTGCCCTTGAGATTGCCAATCACTTCAAAAACAAGATTGACACAATTCGCAAGGACATTGCCGCAACTCGCACGCCTTCTCAACCCGTCCCCTTTCACACAGCTACCCCCTCATCCCCCCTCCCCCTCGACATAACCCACAGGGACTTCGTCGCTGCTCAAACTCCCTCCAACCCCCTTCCCCCTCACTCAGCTACCCCCTCTACACCCCTCTCCCACGGCCCCACCACTGCTCTGACCTCCTCTCCCACCCCACCCTACATTCCTCATACTGAAGCTCCCCCAACACTCCGCACCTTTGACCTTACTACCATCGAAGAAGTCTCCAAAATCCTCTCTGATGCCCGCCTCACCACCTGCCCCCTTGACCCTATCCCCTCACAACTCCTACAACCTCCCTCCCCCTCCATCCTACGCTCCCTCACCCACATCTTCAATCTCTCCCTCTCCTCCGGCACTTTCCCTTCCCCTCTGAAACATGCACACATCACCCCCATACTTAAAAAGCCCTCCCTGGACCCCAATGACCCGAACAACCTCAGACCCATCTCCCTACTCCCATTTACATCTAAACTCCTCGAGCGCCTAGTCTACGCCCGCCTATGCTCTCACCTCAACGACAACAACCTCCTCGATCCCCTACAGTCCGGCTTCCGTCCCCTACACTCCACCGAAACTGCCTTACTCAAACTCTCCAACGACCTGCTAACCGCCAAAGCTAATGGCCACTATTCAGTGCTCCTACTCCTTGACCTCTCTGCGGCCTTCGACACAGTCGACCACCCCCTCCTCCTCAAAAAACTACACTCCCTCGGCCTCAGAGATTCTGCTCTCTCCTGGCTCTCATCCTACCTGTCACAACGCTCTTTCAGCGTTACCTATAATGCCACCACCTCCCTCTCACTCCCCCTCTCTGTTGGGGTCCCTCAAGGCTCTGTCCTCGGGCCCCTTCTCTTCTCCATCTACACCTCCTCCCTTGGCCAACTCATACACTCTCACAGCTTCAACTACCACCTCTATGCCGACGACACACAAATCTATCTCTCAACCCCCCACCTCACCCCCTCGGTCTCCGCCCGAATCACACACCTGTTGAGCGACATATCAGACTGGATGTCGCTCCCACTTCCTTAAATTGAACCTCTCCAAAACCGAGTTTCTTGTCTTCCCTCCAGCCCGGACACCACCCCCCATTGACTTCTCCATCATGTCCAACAACGCCACCATCAAACCCGCCCCGCAGGCCAGAGTACTTGGTGTCATTTTGGACTCCAACCTATCCTTCCAGCCCCAAGTCCACTCTTTAACAAACTCGTGCAGACTCCGCCTCCGCAACATCGCCAAAATCCGCACGTTCCTAACTCCAGAAACTACTAAACAGCTCATCCACTCCCTCATCATATCACGACTCGACTACTGCAACTCCCTCCTCACTGGCCTGCCTCGCCGCTGGCTATCCCCGCTTCAGTCCATCCTGAATACGGCTGCCAGACTCATTCACCTTTCCAACCGCTCCGTTTCCGCCACCCCCCTCTGCCAATCCCTCCACTGGCTTCCGATTGCGCAACGGATCAAATTCAAAATCCTAACGCTGACGTACAAAGCTGTCCACCATACTGCCCCGAACTACATCACTGACCTAATATCCAAGTACCGCCCAGCACGCACACTCCGCTCCTCACAAGACCTCCTTCTCTCTAGTTCCTTGGTCTCCTCCTCCCATGCCCGCCTCCAGGACTTCTCCAGGGTGTCACCCATCCTCTGGAACTCCCTGCCCCAACCCATCAGATTATCACCTACTCTCCTCTCCTTTAGGCGCACCCTGAAAACCCATCTCTTCAGGGAAGCCTACCCCGCCCCCTGCTAACTTGCCGACCTCCTCCACTCTTCCTACCACTCCATCCCCCACAGCTATCTCCTCCTGTGCCACCATCCCCTCCCTCCTAGATTGTAAGCTTGAAAGAGCAGGGCCCTCGATCCCCTCATGTTTTGCATTGTATTGGTATTGTTCTGTCACATGTTCTGTCCCCCTTTGTAATGTACAGCGCTGAGCGAACTATTGGCGCTTTATAAAATACTGTATAATAATAATAATAATAATAATAATGATAATAACCTAAATCCAAAGGTTTTCTATAGCTGCTAAGAAAACCTTTGCGGTGGTTAAGAGGCATTTTTACCTACAGACCAGTGTTGGTTCATTTAACATTTTGGTAAATCTTGCATAGACCATTATTACCCTGATATTTCAGATCACGGCACAGTACTTCTGTATTGGGGACACTAACTTTGCTGTTCTTCCGCCACCAAAGAGCATCCTCTTAAGGCAACCGGAAATGGCTTCTCAATGAGTGGAAGTGGATGTTAAAGTAGCCATGCTACAGAAGCCAGTATCTTTAAAAGGTCAGCAGCAGCCTACATATTTCTCTCCTGACAAGGGAACAAGTTGTCAGATCTGCATACAATTCCAAGGTTTGGACTTAGCATTTCATTTTTATTGTGGGTAATACCACAGAAGTAGTTGGAACTCCAAGGTAAGCATGGGCAAGCTGTAATGATGAAGTACAGTTAGGCAACTCAAGATCTGTACATTTGCTGCAATCATAATGACTTACTCTATGTATGTATACATACTTACTCTAGAGGAAGATGAAAGAAAGAGCGCACAAACCTTGCGCATTACCTCAATAAATAGTGACTAATTTTTATTAATATGGAAATACACTCACAAAGTGATGGTATAAACAGGCATAAGTAACCATAATCCAAACAGGGTTACAGGTAAATCAAAAAGGGGGGGGGGGATGAAGGCTAACGAGTTTCGAAGGGTGCTCCCTTCTTCATCAGAGCTGGGTTGAGCAGATAGAGACTTCAGTATGGCAGAGTTCCCATGGCAAGGAGATATTCAGCCACTGAGTGTCAGTATTACAGCAGATCAGCCTGTTTAGACACTGAACCCTTCGAAACGCCTTAGCCCCCCCCCCCCCCCTTTTCGATTTACCTGTAACCCTGTTTGGATTATGGTTACTTATGCCTATTCTACCATCACTTTGTGAGTATATTTCCTTATTAATAAAATTAGTCACTATTTATTGAGGTAATGCGCAAGGTTTGTGTGCGCTTTCTTTCATCTTCCTCTACAGTTTTATTAAGCTTCCCCAGCTTCATGATAGAGCTGCACAACCTCTGATCACCAGTGGATGAACACACAACACGCTGCTTGTCACTAACGCCTGTTTGATCTGAGTCTTTGAGCACAGGAGATAATGGATCTTTGGTAAATACATACTTACTGTAACCTTACTTTTTTTTTTCACCAGAAATAAACATTTAAAAAAAAAAAAAAAAAAAAACACAGGTTACAGTTATGCAGACACTCGGTGTTTCAATATAAAAGTATACTTAGCAGAGCTGCCCCAATACTTCAACTTCATACCACAAAGGCTGAGAGTGCCACTATCCCATACCTTTGTAGCAATTATGTCTGTAATAACACACAATCAAAAATAATTTATGAAGACATAATTTAATTGAATTTCGTTAAATAAAAAGGCTCCAAGCTATGATTGGGTTAATCAATAAATTTTTTATGCCATTAAATAAGGCAGGTTAAGCATAGCTTGGCATGCCATCTACATAATATCAAGAGGACATGCCAAAGCATTTGCATAACTACATACACTGCAACTAAAAATGTGTAAATAAAACCCAACAATAGATCTTTTCAGTTACAACTACAACATAGGTAAAGCTGGGTTTGCAGGAGGTTCAGTAAACTCAGCAGAAGTCTGCACACCACAAACATAATGCCAAACCCCACAAGTCTAAAAAAAACAGATCTTGCTATTTTTTTTCTGTCCTTTTTCAAGGCTAGTTTGCAAGCAGGCATGTACCAATTAAAAAAAAAAAAAAAACATTTAACTACACATGCAGTAGTAGTATGCAGCTTAATTTAAAGGGAAACCTTGAAAATACGCAAATCCTTTAAATAGAATGCTTGGGGGATGCTTTAAAACTGCTGGGAAATTTATGAAACAGTATCATACAGACCTTTAAAACGGACATTAAAGAATAGGTAAATAAATGAAGTGGGGTTCCCCTTAATATATCTTCCAGACCCTTATCCAGGCATGTGGCCTGGGTGGCCCAGGAATGGCAGAGCACCCAGCATGCATCCCCCTTACTTCCTGAATCATACCAGACCCCATGCATTCCAAAATTGAAAAAAAAAAAAATATTTTTTTGTGTGTGTGTCTGTGTGTTTTGTAATGTGCATCATTGTTTCTTGGCTCTATTTTAGATACAAACAACAAATACAATGTACACATAATGCCCCATATGTCAGGAGTAGCAAAAAAAATTTTTTCTTTTGGTGGTGGGTCATGGTAATGGCAAGAAAATATACAGCTAAAGTTCATTTATTTACTAATTTGGGCCAGATTTCCTTTGATAATAAAACAGTCAGGGATATCAATTAACATTAAGCACCAAATAAAGAAGAACAAAACCAAGATATAATTTACTACTGGCTAGTAGTTGTATTGATATGTACAGTTTTACTAAAAAACAGACTAAAGCTGCAAAACTGCATTCAGGCATTTATTTTACCTTTGGGTATTCAGGGGTTAACTACATTACAATACAAAGAAAAAAAATTGTAAACCGCACCCCTTGTAAATCCATACTCAAAAGTGTCATTCAACAATATAGATCCATCATAAGCCACCATGACCGCCTGCCCAGGGATGCTGCCCAATGGCTAAATGACAACTTTACGGTGCTGCTGGAATGTAAACAAATTCCTGGCGACATCAATGGCCAAATATATTCATGACCATATTTGAGCAATGATGTCACCTGGAATCCCCACTGCAGTGTTTACATTCCAGCAACACTGTAGGGATCTTGACATTTAGCAATGGTAGTGTGGTGGGGCAGTATCAGCAGGGCAGCAAGGAAAAAGACTCGAATGACACATTTTTAATTGTTATGTAATTAAATGACTTTGTTCCAAAGCATAGGTTTGTTTGATTTACTTATAACTTTTACTGAGAACGGATAATAAGGGTAGTAATGTATCCCGTACTCCTTTCCATGGATAGGCAGGTATTCTGGGTGTGCTTATTCTTAAAAGGGCTTAAAGATTCACTGAAATTCTGTTTTGGGGGACAGGATGTGGGGGAAAAGGTCCCTGTCTCTCAACAATTGGACAAGATGCCTTGAAAGGGGGAAGGGCTTGGACACTGCCTTGCAGAGTACCCTTCTGATGTTAAAAGGTATGTGGCCAGGTTCAGAAGGAACATGGGCACACACTCACTCCATTTTCAGGCTGCCCAGAATGACAGACTTTTATGCAGATAACATTCCATTTTCCCCCCTTTTTTTGTGTTTTGTCCCATCAAAAACAAGGGGAGGGGAGGACAACGGTGATATTTCCCTTAGTGTTCAAACCAGAAACACAGCCTGAGTAGCCAGGAAAGGGTGGGAAGCATACATGTATCCCATCCTGCTGAACCACACCAAGATGCATGCCTGTCAACATTGGCAGGGTACCCTGCAAGGTTCAGCCTGCCTAAACCTAGGTCTCTCTAATTAGAATCAACCTTTTTTTTATTTGAGCCAGTAAGTATAAATGTCCCAAGACATACATAAAACAAAAAAAAATCATAAATTACAGCTCCTCCAATCTGAGCGATTCTTTTAGATTATTAAACAAATAAACCTTACCTTCACATTTTTCTAATATTTGAACTGTGTCCCCAATTTCCAGTGTTAAGCCATGTGGATTTGTTCCTCGAAAGCTTGCAATTACTAAAGAGAAAACAAATATTTAATTATTTTTAAATAATTTTTTAAACAAATAAATTGGTAAAAACTTTTTTTTAAATGTCCAATGATTTCCACAAGTGTTAAGAGGTTAGTACATCCTCTGGAATTTCCATTTCTATCCAATCCCACAACACATTTATCCTACTACAACTCAGGAAAAAAAATTAGTAAACCATTAGTAAACCATAAGACAATCTTGCCAGATAATTTGCCAGCATCTAACTATATTAAATGTATTAGCATTTGGTGGATTAAATGGCAGATTCATCTTTAAGCTATTACATTATAGCTTAAAGCAGGCTTAAAGTCTGGTAAAGATGGACATCAAGCCTCTGTTTCTTATATTTCTGGTCCCTAAGTTGTGGCTTTACTGTGGCGGTAGCAGTAGGATCACTGACCCGTTAGACCTGGATACTATTTTTGGGATTTAGTGACTACAGGCAATGTGGAGTCCGTTTCTCACTTTAGGTTTGGTTTAAAACAGTTCTTTTGAAATAACACTTCTAATTGTATATTTAAAGGCCAAAATGGACCAAAATGAGAGAGGTTTATTGTTCAGGTTTGTAATTTTACCCTGAAAGCCTGTACATTGTGCCATGATGGCCACTTACCACCCATGCACTGTCCTGCAACACGCATGAGGACTTTACTCACACTTAATGGGTTGCATGTCTTTCTAGCTCAGTGACTCAAGGTATGGATCTCAATGATGGCCAAGGCAATAGCAGAGGTTATGAATGCTTATTTATGCTGTAGATTTTGTTTACATCCTCACATTTATAGGGATCATCAGGTATATAGAACATTACAATATTTAAAAAAAAATAGACAAAAACAATAGCCTTTAAAGTGAAAACATCACTTTCAAAGATATAGTTTTCCTTCACTATGCAGCACGTTGAAGTAGTGCGAGTTAAGCATTTACAAAAACTAAGCTATTAAAAGGTTACTAATCCAGACTTCCTAAAATTGCAAAAATTACCACTCTGTGTGTGAAATGTAGAACTACATTATCCTGTCCAAACATTAAATATACAGAAAGTCAGTATTAGCACTCCCTTCATAGCAATGCTCAGACAGCTCTGAGATCTCCCTAAAGAAATTAACACTTCTTTATGTAAGGCGGGGGGGGAACTCATCTCTCATTCCAGGAAGTACATGCTCTACAGTGTATTTGATGCCTAGGATAGGTTTTCTTTCATCAGGAATTCTTTTATTATGCTGCGTTTTTGGCGACTATTCCACAACCCAGTTAGCTATCTTTCCCATTGTGAGGATGTACAGCAATCACGTGACCAATCAAACCAAGTATTAGTTATATAAATGGTACTTGGTATATACGAGTTACCAATTTTTTTTGTTAGTTTTTTTTTTTAAACTCAAGCATCAGAACGGATTTCTAAATTTTTATATTCACTGCAGATCCGACACATCTAAATGTAAATTGTCAGGCAAATAAAAAAAATCAGAAAATCAGCAATCCTCCTTACTTAGTCATCTTTATTTGTCATTACTGTGACAAGAACAGACAGATTATACAGCTCCTGTTAAAATCTACAACAGATCTGCCAGCCTCAGTCATCCTTACAGTATATATAAACCAAACCTAGATTTCTCTCTCACTATCTCCCAGCAGGAACACTGACCACACAAAAAAAACCCAACAAAGGTTTTAACCCATTCCTACTCTTCCCAAAGAAAAATTTTTTTTGCTTTAGATATACTTGCTAAATAGGATGTATTCAGGTGCGTCAAGCCTTTTGGCATTCATTCATTTCACTGTCCAGAATATTAATTGATTCTGGTCATTGAAATGAATGAACGCTCAAGAGCTAAATGTGCCTACCATTTAGGTGCATTAGGTTTTTTTTTTTTCTGCCCAATCGCTCCTCTCCTGAATGCTGAACGAATATGTGCATGGACACATAGGCTGACATACAGTGGCATACAGACACAAGAAAGAAAAAAAAAAAAAGCCAAAACGTCCTTAAAAGCAGCATTTTTCACTCGCTGGGTGCATAAAACCTTCTACAGAAGTTGATCAAACAATTATCTTCTGTCTAGCGGCAATGGCCGCATACCGATAACAATCTGGCCAGGTCCTATTGGTCCAAAATTTCAAAACATCCAAAGCTCAATCAATTTATGGTCAGCTTAAATCTCTGACACGCTTCCACATCTCAACTGACAACCAAGGTTCTAAAATACAGTACACTGACTGGTCTGATTAAGGTCTGCATTATTTTCTGTTGTTGTGGACCTAAAAGTGATGGATCGGAGATAGCCTGATGTAAAAGGACAAACCATAGAGCGGTCATGGGCCAGCAGTGTCTGCTGGCCACAAACTAAAGGGGTGCAGATGTCAAGACACGGACATCTGTCCTGCCCACCTCTGATTCAGTAAGAGGTCTGCCAGCACATCCTCTCCTGAGTGGAGTGAACTCTGCCCCTTGTGAAAGGAACCTTAGGTTCCGTCTGTTTCAATTGCTTCTGTTTCCTCATGTAGAAAGACCCAAATATGCTGATGTCAGAGATCTGAGGGGCAATCTCTTCCACTACTCATTATTTTCACTAAAGATACTTCTTTCTGACTTTGGCTGTATGTTTGGCGCCATTGTCCTGTTGCAGAATTAATTTAGGACCAATTAGACATCTTCCCAATCATATTGCATGAAATATAAATAGCTGCCTGTAATTTTCAGCTTTCTATTAACCATTATTTTTTACCAAATCCCCAACTCGATGTGGAGAAATGAAGCTCCACATCAGCAAGTAAGCTTCACCATGCCTTTCTGTTGCCTAAAAACACTATGCCTCATACTACTGCTGTCCAGACTTTCAGCATATTCAAGACCAATTTAGTAAAGCATTTGCAAATGTTCGTACAATAAAATGCATGAAGATTCCAATCACATGAAAAAGAAATATCCATGTTTGCTTCATCTGCACGATTGGATAACTTAAGTGAATATTTATACATTTTATCATGTTACCATTCTCAAATGAAATATGTTAACATTCTTAAATCAGCCTTTTTGCCTTTTGCTACAGCCTGTTAGATTATATTTGGATTCATCAGTCCAGAGCACTTGATGCTATTTTTCTGCACACCATTGTGTTTACTTGAATAGGTGAGTCACATGGCCTGGTTTCCTAGCCAGAGAGTTGGCTTTTAAGCTATACGTCGATCCTCTAGACTACTTCTGACAGTCATCTCCGGACTGTATCATGGTCCCATTCGCTTTAGCCAAGATTAAGTTGACGATGCCACTGGCCAAACACAACTATTTTGCTTTTGATTGAGATTTTTTTTACAAAGATTTGGAGCAGCTATGGGCTCCAGATTTTCACCCTCTCTCGCTTGGTGGAAGAGGGTGTGTATTTTTGGATATGACAATTCTTTTCATACACATTTAAGATTTTACTGGCACTTCACTGATGATCTAATTTTCCTCTGTTCTAGTGACCTGGGATTTCCAAATAATTTTCATAATAATAATTTTACATCTAAATAATAAACATAATCTCAGGTTCATGGGACAGATGGATGAGAGTTCAATAAACATCCTGCATGTCACACCAACTGTGATGGACGAATTGTCACCAACTTATAGAAAGCCTCGGTCAGGTAATGGTTTATTGAGAGCTGACTCGGGCCACCTTAGACATACTGTGAGCAGTATCCCAGTAGGCCAGTTAGTTAGGCTATGTAGAATTTGCAGTAGGGATGAAGAATTTGAGAGAGAATTAACCTCTACGAGGGATAGTTTTCAAGAACAGGGATATTCGGGCCAAGTAGTCAGGTGAGCGATGAGTATTGCTAGGAAGACAGAGAGGAGTAGCTTGTTGAGAAAGAATGCTTGGGACAATTCACATAAGGGACCACTGGTGTTTTCCACACTGTATAGTGTGGAGTAAAATAAAATAAAAAAGATTATAGAACGCTGGCAATGTTGTGTGCTGATGAGGTGTTTGTCCATATTCTCTCAAGGGGGGTTAGGGTTGTTTCCAGACAGGGCCCCACATTGGGAAATGTTTTATCTCCTTGCTATTTTTTTATCTCATAAAAACAGAGTGACACCTGGCAGCACTTCAGGGGAAATTACCATTCTGGTGTGGAGGTGGACGGGACACAGATTTGCATCCATGAGCAGTGGCAAAGAATAAAGGATAAAAATGTATTCATTGTAATATGAGATATGTGGTTAACCTCATTACATGTAAGATTTGCCACATACAGTATGTGGGTAGGACAACCAGGAGGCTGCGTGATCGCCTCCACGACCAAGCTCTTTTGGATCTTTCATCTACAGATACGTATTCCGAAGGTTCTGAATTTTGAATAGGACCTCACACACTTTTATGAGTAATACATATGTACTGGTTGTACTGTGTGCACTTGTTATGGTGAAGCTAAATTGTATACATGTATTTGTAAGTACATATTTTATTTAGTGTTGATACATTGTGCATTGTGTGCTGGTTCTCAGTTTCATAATGATTGTCGAATGGGACTTTGGTGATATTGGAATGTTTTAATTGATAAGGGGTTCTGTGATGGGTTTTCCATGTGTGTGGACTTGTATGTTCCAGAGAGCAAACTGGTTCTGAGCGGATTACAGCTGTGATCATGAGATATAAATGTGCTGTGTAACTGGTTTCAATAGGTTATGAATAATCAATCTTGCTCATGTTCCCCTACTGTATGTTGTCTCGCTTTTTAGATTTTTAATACATGCCTAACAAAGTGGATTGTGTTTGGGGGTGCAGCCATCCGGAACTCTTTTTTTCATTTTGTTTGCAGCATATGAGCTGGGTGAGCACCCTTCCGACAGGTGTCGGGTGTGATAGCGCGGACAGACCTGGAGCAGCGGCTACTGATTGTATGTCACTGGCTATGTTTTGATTATGAACAGCAGTAATCATATGTTGTCTTTCATTTCCTGCACTCTCTTTCATTGACCACTACATTTTTAGTTCTCA